TGTCCGCACTAGCCTCTTGGTGTCCCCTCAGACACACCAGGCTCATTCCCACCCCGGTAACTTCCCGCCCCTCTGGCAGGAACACTGTGCCCCAGATCTTCCCTGGCTGGAGTCACCTCACAGGTCAGGTCTCAGCTCAAGTGTCACCTCCTTGGAGAGGCTTTCCCTGGCCACCTTCATGAAAGTCCCCCACAGGTCTCCACCCCGTCACCCTGCTGTCTTTCCATTGCAGCACAGTCACTCTCTGTAGGCACCTCATGCATTTGCTCACAGGTGCACAGAAGGGCCCTTCCCACCAGCAAGTACGTGAGCTCTCTGTCCCGTGTACAACACGGTCTCCAGTGCCTGGGACAGTAGCTGCTCAAAAATATCTGTAGAATGGGTGGCAAGATTAACGTGGCCTTCAGGGGCCAGGTTAGGCTGGGGCTGCTGATTTCAGAGCCATGGGCAGAGAGGTGGCAATTTCCATGCAGGGGAAGGGCAGGGAGCCCAGGGGAAGATCTAGGAGACAGCCTGGAGGAACTTGGTTTTGAGAGAGGAAAGAGGAAACCTTGGTACAAGACTCTCAAGGAGAGAGGGGAGATGCCCCAAGGGCAGGCCTAGGAACTGAGGGAGCCTGGATTCAACCTGGCAGGCGCTCCAGAGCCCCAGTGTCCAGACACTAAGCTGCCCTTCATCTTGTTTGAGTGTTGCCAAGTGGGTATGATCACTATCTCATTTTCCTAAGGATGAAGAGGATTTAACTCACACAGCAAGTGGCAGACCCAGGGGGAAGCCCCAGCAGTGTTCTTCTGGAGCCCACAGTCTCATCCTCTCCTGTTGATGGCACCGATCTTCTTCGGGAACTGCCACAGGAGGAGGAGAGCTGCGAGAAGGGGCCAGCCACAGCAGACGTGGCCGGGAGAGCAGCCTCTGGAGCAACCACCCAGGGGATCTGAAGACCTGGCCGTCAGCTTAGCTGGGGTGAGGCCAGGATGAAGAGGATGGAGACATAAACAGGAGGCAAGGAAGTGGGGACGGCAAGCGTGGGTAACTCTTTGGAGAAGTTTGGCTGTAAAGACAAGTGAGACATAGGATAGTAACCGGAGGCGGCAGTGGGTGCAAAGAGCGCTATTTTAAGGTGGCAGAAACTGGAGTGTGCTTGGACGCGACAGCCAACAGAGGAGCAACTGAAGAATTGAGTTGAGGAGGAAGCAGGGCGGCTCAGCACCGGGGTGGAGGGGCTGCAGAGGCGGAGGCCCAGCCCTCCTCTGCCCACTTATTTTCCGTGGGAAGTAGGAGGAGGAGAGGGCATCTGAGCAGAGTTGGGAGGTGGGAGGGTCAGGTTTGAAAGAGCGGGGAAGGCTTGCAGTCATGCAGCAGGAGAGACAGCTGGCTGCAGCGAGGGCCAGGCAGCGGGACCCGGTGACCATTCTCAGTGCCATCAGTCTGCTCAAGGGTGTGATACTCTTTGGGGGCACCCAGCAGCCTGGGTAAAAGTCCAAAGGATAGAGAGTTGCAGTCATCCAGGGATGAGGTTTCACCGGGACGGTTCTGTGGATGGAGTGAAGTTAGGACATGGGCAAGAGAGTGACTGAGGTAATGCACCAGGCAATCTACACTGGAAGTGGGGCAGCTGGGAAGGGGCTGAGGGTCAGGGAGGAAGCAGAGGTAAAAGAGGTCAAGGGACCAGAGTGACAATGTGGGAGTGAGCAGGTTGAAAGAGTAGAAGGCGTGGCCATAAAGCACAGCCTCTCAAGGAGGGATCTCAGAGGGGCCACAGCTCTGAGCCGGGGCAGGTGAACACCCAGAGGAGTGGTGGGTGTGGGCATGCGGCTGCAGCCTTGGCCTCTTGGCAGGACTCACAGAAGCCTCACGGAAGTCAGCTGCGGCTGGGAAGGGCAGCCTGGCAGCTGTGGAGCAGGATGAAGATCCTTTTTGTGTGTTTGTTTTATTTTTTTATTGTCTTATTATGCCTAGGTGAGACAAGTGCCTGGGAAAGCATTCACACAGCATGAAGGAGTATATTCTAATAAGTCTGTTCCTCACCCTGCAGTGGGCTTGCAGACCAGAGGCAACTGCACCACCATCTTCCTCTGTGTGGAGCGTTTTTCAGAGCCTGAGGGGTAGTGCTGGGAGCAGCTCAGCTGGGCGGAAGGCTTCCCCACTTCTTCCTTCCAAGGTTCCAGGCTTCAGGTCCCCTCCCAGCACCCCAGAACTGCTCAGGGTACGGAGGCCCCTGTCCAACCCCTCAGTTTCCGAAATCCTCTCTTCCTCAACTGCCAAGAGAGTCCACTCCTCGGGCTCCCTCCCTTATCCCTGAGCACTCCTTGTCTGCCCCTGCCTTTACGTGGTGGTCCACTAGGGCTGCATCTTCCACCCCCTGCCTCCTCGCCTCATTCTGATGCATTCCTGCAGCTTCACTTTCCACCTCCAGCAGCATCAGGGCTCAGAACTCTCTGCTGAATTCCAGTCCTATACACTCATTGTCCACCTGACAGCTCCCCTCCAACTCAAGGAGCCACAGCTGAGTTCGTCTGCTGCCCGTCTGCCCATGGCCCCATCGGCAGCGGACATGAGTTATCTCATGGCCACCCAGCATCTGTTCACCCCAGGATGGAACAGGCCCAGATTTGGTGCACAGACAGCCCCCTCTGCTTTGGACCCTGCAGTCTGTGGTGTTCCCTCCACCTCTACCCCAACCCAAGTACAGCATGTTACCAAAGTCTAGAACATTCCATACTTTCAGCATAGTACTGTTTCAGGGTTAGCACAAACAGGCCCAACAGCAGCAAACCCCGGGGTTTGGCCCAAGTGACATGGGAGAAGACCTCCGTTTTTCCTGATAGGTTTGAACCTGAGAGGCTTCAAGCCAACGCCCTGCCTCACGTGGAGGCCGGGAACACACACCATCAACACTCGCAGTGCATTTTCTTGGTGTCAGGTATGTGCCAAGCACCCTACATGTGTGGATCTCACTTTATCCTAACAAAACATGGCACCAGCTAGGCCCTATTTTTTCCCAACCTAAAGAGGAGGGAATTGAGCCACAGAGAGGTTCAGGGCCTTGTCAGGCCATGCAGCTAATAACTACGGTGCCAGAATTCAAATCCAGACCACGTGACTCCAGAGTCCTTGCTTTCAACCACCAGGCTCTACTGCCAGAAGCCGACACAGGCAAGCAGAGCTATAGGAAGAGGGGAAACTGAGGCCTGCTCCCACCATGGAGCCCTGAATCATGCTGGGCCTGCGTCCAGAACCACCCCTAGACTTTTCAGTTACATGGGCCAATATACTCCCTTCTGCCTGAACCAAATATAGTTTGGGTTTTCTATAAATTCAGACCAAAAAAGTTCTAACTGATAACACATCCTCTCAGTGGGTGGCACCATCGCACACACAGTATTCAGGCCAGAAACCAGAACATCGTCCTCCCCTCCTCTCTCTCCCTCATCCCTCACATCCAACCAGTGACCACAGCTGGTGTCCCAGGCCTGTCCCTCTTCTTACCTCTGGTCCAGGCGACTATCATCATTTTTTTCTGGGTTTTGACAACAGCCTCCTTGCCTCCTTTCTACTTCTAGCCACCACAAACTTACCACCAAGTTCTTTAAGATCCAGATCTTAACATGTCACTTCCCGCATGAAACCCTCCAGACACCTCACTGCTCCTGGGGTAAGCTCCATCTCCTGCCCAGGCTGGCCCTAACCACCACCCTGGTCACACCTCCCTCACCCACCCTGCCCCAGCCCCCCTGCTTCTGAAGCTTGCTGCTTCACACCTCCAAATCTCTGCCTGAAATGCTCTTGCCCCCTTCTTGCCCAGGCGAATGCCCAGTGGTGATGCCACCTCCTCTGTGAGTTGTGCTTTGCTAATCCCAGCAGAGCTCTCACTCTCTGCTCTCGGCTCTGTCACTCTGGGCTCTTTTCATTGTCTATTTTAACTTCAGTTTTGTAAGCACCACTCTTTACTGGACTGTGAGCTCTTCAGGGGCAGGGTTTCTGTCTTGTTTTTTGTGTGTGTGTGTGTGGGTTTTTTTGTTGTTGTTGTTTTGAGATGGAGTCTTGCTCTGTTACCCAGGCTGGAGTTCAGTGGCAGGATCTCAGCTCACTGCAACCTCTGCCTCCTGGATTCAAGCAATTCTCCCCATTATAGGCACGCACCACCACACCCAACTAATTTTTGTATTCTTAGTAGAGATGGGGTTTCACCATGTTGGTCAGGCTGGTCTCAAACTCCTGACCTCATGATCCACCCGCCTCGGCCTCCCACAGTGTTGGGATTACAGGTGTGAGCCATCGCACCCAGCCCTGTCTTGTTTATTTCCTCATCCCCACGTCCCAGAGTATGCCTGGCACGGAGCAGTCACTCAGTAAATACTCATGGAAAAGAGAATAAAATGAGTGTTCCCAGGAATAGAGAGTTGGTTCTATACCTCTTCTCTCCTCTCCTCTTCTCTTCTCTTTTCTCCTCTTCTCTTCTCTCCTCTCTAGGGATGGTCAGGTTCAGGGAAAATAATTATGCCACAGGATGATTACTAGGCAGAAAGACTTTTTTCAATAAATAAGCATGTTACCAATTTGATCAATGACAAACCTATGATATTGTCACCTACATTTTATAAACAAAAAGACTGAGGTTTAGGAAGGTTTTGCAATCTAGAATTCCATGCACATGCTCACGAAACCCACTCTCATCTCAAAGCCAAGGCTCAGGCTGGACTCTGATGAGACAGACCCCAACAGTGACTGGTTGAATGAAGCGGTGCTCTTGCCCACACTGGCCACAGGGCGGCAGCCGAGTGCTGGCGTGAGGGTGGCTTTCTGCCCCACTTCACACCCACCCTGGGAAGATGTGGATCTGAGGGTGCAAGGGGAAAAGCCACCACTGAGGAGAGGCCAGGGGACAGGGGCTGGGGTTGCTATATCTGCTAGAAACAGGTAAAACTGGAGGAGAGTTGGGGAACAAACCATTAATTCCTAGAGTCAAGGGCTGGAGACATAGACTGTAGACCTGAAGCTTGCATTACCAGCATATTTAATAACAGGCCACAGAAAGTGATGCAGCATTCCTGGATTGTGGGGGCACTGCAGGCCTGCAAATGGGAGGCACTGACTTGCAGCAGGGGCCGGTCACTGTCAGACCATTGCTGCCTCACACCTGACAGGACAAGTGCTGCACTCATGTCCTCAGAGGCCAGAAGGCAGGGGGCACAGCCAGCACCTGCTGCACCAGGCGTCCAGGATGTGTGACCACTTCAGTGCCCAGGACATGCAGCAGGTCCCAAGTGGGCTGGGAGTGCAAGTCTCCCAAGTCCAGGCCCACACTGAGCACTTCCGGAGGTCCAGTGGAGCAGTTCAGAGGCAGTGGCTGGGTGCAAGGATCCCAGGTTGAGGTCTCACCATAAGCCAGGTATCTCCCAGTCTTTCATCTGCAGCAAGAATGGGCTGAAGGTGGCAGGGGACCCCCAGAGCGGCAGCAGGAGAGCTCTCTGGTTGGCAGATGATGCGGGGCTCAGGAATCTGTAGAGAGAGCCACCCCCGTGTCTTTGTTGGAGAGGGAGCTGCACTATGTGGAGACTGAGGAATGGACTCCATAAACCTCACAGCCTTTCCCAGCTTAGGGAAAATCTCAGGGGCTGGAGGAAGGTTAGGGCAAGATCTGAACCCATCAGCCGCTCCAGCCCTTCCCCTATGGACAGTGCAGGCTAAGTGAGCTGGCTAGGAGTCCAGGTGCCTGGCTTCTCTCCCTGGCACTCAGACCTGCACCCATCCCCCACCTCTCACTCCCAGCTGGAGCCTGATGGGGTAACAGCAGCACCCACTTCCCAATTTTCCACATTCTTTCCTGCCCACTCAGCCTGACAGCCTTGACCAGGGTCAGAGTTCCACGGCAAACATCTCAGTCCTTTCCCGTAGGAACACTGAGGTCCCAGGCACACCCCACACCCTGCCCTCCAAGCACTAGGCTCAGAAACAGCAACAGGAGGAAGTTGGATGAAGAAAGCCTTTGCCCCCACCTCTACACCCCTGCCCCAGCCCTGTCCTGGGTGTGAGCAGACACGATGATGCTGGGGGCACAGCCCTTCCTAACACCAAATCACTCTACACCCTCATACCACGGGAACTTGAGCCCAAAGGCCAAACAGAAGGTCATCAGCCTTCAGCCCTGATCCCTCAGCTCTGACCGCTGGGATTTTTTTTCCACGGATGTTTATTCCAGCTGACCCTCTAAGCCCATCCCCCCTCAGGTTCAGGCCAGGAAAGCTGAGCCCAGCTGGCTGAGGAGCTGCTGCCGGCATCTGGAAGACTGCTCCCCACAGCAAGAAGGTAGGCAGGGCCCCAGGGAAGCGGGATGGGAAGGGGGCAGTGACACAGGGGTTTGGGGGTCCATCCCTGATTCGCAAATGTATGAAGAGAAGCCGTGTTTTGCACCAGCATCTCAAGAGTGATGAGAAAGCAGGGAAGGGAAGAGGACAGAGCAAGAGGGGCCCCCAAGCGCCAGAATGGGGCTTGAACTTGGAATCAGGGCCAGGGTCTGCTTCCAGCTCTGTCATTAATGTGAGCATGTCACTTACTGTTCTCTGAGCTTCCCCACGTATAAAAGGAAGGGGTTCCCAGTGATCTGGAGACCCTGTCTCCCAGCTGGGAAAGGAGAGGAGTGTGGGGCCAGAGGGTGACAGGCAAGGCAGCTGGGTGAAACGAGGTATAATCAAGAGAGGAAGTTCCCACCCTCTCCCCCAGCAAAGGGAGGGGGGGGATGTCCCCTGGGCCCAACCCCCTGCTTGTGCCAGGTGCAGTAACAGACACACCACACACACCCCTCAGGGCGCTGGACAACCCTCCCTCCTAGGGGGCAGGGTAGGGGATAGGAGGGGACCCTGAGGTGAGAAGTCCCTGGCTCAGCAAGGCCAGTGTGGCGCCGCTGCCCAGGATTAGCGCCAAATCCTGGGCTGCTGGGCAGGGATCACACGTCGTCGTCAGCTTCGCAGCTGCTTAGCTGCACCTGCCCGCATCCTCCCCCTGCCCCTCACAGGCACCCAGCCTGACTCCTTTCTCGGATAGAAACTGGGACCCTGCCCTACCCCAGATAAGCAGGGCAGGGGCTCCAGAATCGGGGAGGGGGCAAGAGAGGCCAAAGTCACCCCTGACAAACAAACACTTCCACCCACAGAAACCCCCAGGGGCTCCTAGGTGCAAAGCTGAACAGAGGGAAGGAACAGAGAAGGCCTCTCCAGTCCCTGTGGCTGTCCCAGGTGGCTTTCGCCTGTAGTTACCTTGTCCTCAGGCCACCCAGGCCCTTCCCTCCAGATGGCTCCTGTCCTTGGAAAGACAGAGCGAGACACCCAGACAGAGCCCCCACAGCTGGGAGTCCTCAGCCCTACTTCCTGGAGCAGCGCTTCTGAGGCCCCCCAGCTGTCAGGAACCCTGCCATCCACACCCCGCAACACACACCACACAAAGCTCTTTGTCTGCGCTACATCTACTCCCCCACCCCTCACCCCCTCACCCCCGCCCCCACGACCTGAGCAGGGTCCAGAGAAGGGCCTTCCACACACCTCCCCATTCCCCAGGGCCACCCAGGCCCCTGGCTCTGCCCTCAAACATGACCACACTCCTCTCCCTGTCTCAAGAGGGAGTCCAGAAAAGGAATCTCCCACAAGCCCCCTTCCAGGGAAAAGGTTTCAGGCAGCTGAGGCCAAAGGCTGGTGCTGTCTGCCTATCTCCTCAGCCCCGTGGAGTGGGCAGTGCTGGGGCCCGCAGAGTTGGGCCTAGGACCTATAGGGGCCGGGGCAGATGCAGACCGTGGGGTTGAGGGTGGGGGCTAAGGAAGAAGCCCCCAAAGCACACTGTGGCCTCTAGACTCCCTCCTCTGTCATCCTCCTGCCTCCACAACCACCCCACAGTTACACAGCAGCCTCTGTTCCTAGAAAAAAAGCTTAATGCTGGAACACTTAAGATGGGAGGAGGGGGCCGGAGCTGCAGGAGACACAATCCCGGGCGGGGCAGCCTCCTCCTGATTCCGTACACCTGGGTGGCTGCAGCCCCACCGGCCGGCCGTGGACTTACAGAGGCGGGAACCGGAGTCGCTGAAGAGCCCATTCCCCAGACAGGTGCCTTGCTGCGCCCCAAGAAGCCTCCTCAGTAAGGAAGCTACTGTAGCCCCCCGGACCCTCGCGCCCACACTCCCGCTACCCTCCCTCTCACCTGTGCGAGGCGCGCCGCTTCGGGTAAGGGATTGCGACCGCAGCAGCCGTCGGGCATGCTCCGGACCGCTGGGAGTCAGGGGCCGCCTGGAGGCCGCGACCTCCGAGCGCAGCTGGGCGCCTAGGAGTCGTCGTCGTCGTCGCCGTCCTCTCCGCTGGCACTGCCGGGCTCGGGCTCGCGGGACGCGCGCTGCTCGCGGGCCAGCAGCGCTGTCAGGCCCTGGGCGCGGAGGAGGAGGCCGCCGCCCAGGAACAGGACCCCGCAAAGCACCAGCAGGGACAGCACGCCGAGCACCGCCGCCTGCACCGCGAGCGGCCCCTCGGGGGGCTCTGGCGGCGACCCCGACTGGTTACAGCAGGAGCTCAGCCAGGCGGCCTGAGCCGCCGCGCCCGCCTGAGAGCCGTTCATGCTCCAGCGCCGGCTGCCCAGATGTGGCGGGATCGCCAGATGTGCGGGAGCCCAGACTGGCGGGCGGGCCGGAGGCTGCGTCGGGGGGAGGGAACCAAGGGGCGGACCCCAGGCGTCCTACGCCCCTACCCCTTGCACAGAGCGCTCGGGCACTTCCTAGACAAAGAGCTCCAGCCGTTGTGGCTACGGCCCTTTCTCCACAGGCCCAGACTCTGGGCCCATCGTATTTCTTTTCATCCCCAAGGCCCACAGGCACCCCCATGCGAGTCCAGTCAGCCAAAACCAGAAGCCATGTCCCCAAGAGTCCCTCCCCTTCGCAAAGTGGGCCAAGAGGTACACCTAGGCAGAGCCCTGAGAAGATCCTCAGACCCCATCCCAGCTGCAGGCTGGGGTGCTGCCCCTCTGAGCAGGACACAAGACAAAGGTGATTGTCCCCATTCTTGAGTTTTTTGTCCCGAGACCAAAGTTCTATGGTGCTAGGGGGCCCAGGTGGCTGCTGAGCCAGGAGGCACATGGGCAGCCATAAGAGTGAGTCCCACCCTTCCTCGTCCATCATCCCCTTCAGAAGCCTCCTGGAGCTGGACAAGCAGGCTAACGCCTCCTGCACACTCCACAGCAGGGGGCCATTCAGGTACAGCAGAGCAGAGCAAAGCATGGGGAATTCAAGGCCCACCTCCACTCCTTTTCTCAGGCCCCATAGGCCAAGGAGAGTCACATTTACAGACCAATGGGAGAGCACAGATTTGATCCACCAGGACTCCAGTCCTGACTCCGGATAAATCAGTCCCCCACTTCAGAAAATCGCAATGCCATAAGGGAGGGGAATATTACTGTCCTGTCTACCAGGGTGGCCCATTGCCAGCTAGGTGTCCCACAGCCAAGCCAGGGTGGGAGAGTGAAGCAGAGTTCAGCTGCAGAAAAGCAGAGAGACTGGAAAAGCGGACAGAGAAGCAAGACCCTCCTGCCAGGTCTGTAGCTGGACCTGTAGCAATTCTTGTACAATTCTGTTGCAAATTCTGTAGCAAGCCTTGAGTCCTCTTTTAAAAAATAAAGTCACTGCCAGCCAACACCTGTACCAGTCCCCTCAGAAGGGATTAGATTAGCTGATGGTCGTCTGGTAGAAAAACAAGAAGAGTCCCCCAGACTGCAGCAGGCCAAGTGGGGTGTCATATGCTATCAAGGACTTGCTAGAAATTGGCCTTCTTCAACTATAAACCCCCCTCCTGAGTCCTCCAACTCTCTGATGACCCAGAGATCAAGAGTAGAAACATCACATGGCCAAGGGTAACTTGGAATGGGAAAAGCGCATTCCAAGTGCAAACACTTCCTGGTCATCCTGACTACCTACACTGCTCCAGGACCATGGACGAGATACCCCACTCCCACCCCATTTCTCCCTTAGCATCCCTCCCTACACACACCTCATTTAGTCTGGTTAGAACTGGCCCAGAAGCAGCCAAAAAGCATTGTAAAGCATGGACTGTATCGATGAGAGCATAGCACACAATGGGGGCTTGAGTATGCGAGTGTAGAAATGAATGTGAGTGATGGAGGCAATGACCAGCCCAAGCTGGAAGAAGTGTCACCAGATACCAGACTGTCTCAAGTTGGCCAATCTGTCTCCAGACATGACCCACATCAAATGACCTTTCTGGTGCACATGGGGATCTGTGTGCTCTATGAAGACAGAGAAGGTACTCTCTGGGGCCACGGTGAAGCAAGACCAGACAACATAAAGGCCAGGGATGTCATAGCTTCCTTAGAAAAGGTGGAGATAACACGGGAACAGAAAACCAACATGTTCTCACATGTTACATGTTCTCACTTGTAAGTGGGAGCTACATGACGAGAACACATGGACACACAGAGGGGAACAACGCACACTGGGGCTTTCTGGAGGGTGGGAAGAGGGAGAGGATCAGAAAAATAACTAATGGGTACTAGGCTTAATACCTGGGTGATAAAATAATCTGCAAAACAAAAGTTTACAAAAAAAAAAAAAAAGAGGAAAGTGAGTTTGGAAGTGTTGAAATAGGGAGTCGATTGGTGGGGGGGAAAGGGAGGAGCAGCTCAGTCACATCCAAAAGCAACAGACCCTCACCCTACCATGCACCTTCATTCATGGGATTGGCTATGGCCACATCTGGGTAACACCTGCTTTGTGTGAATAGCCAGTCAAGTGCAAAATCTGTCCATTTTAATACATCTTTAATCCCATCCACCCACCCCTCTCATCTTGGAGCAGTGCCCTCCACACACACCTGTGTCCTCAGAGGAATGCCAGAAAGTGTTAACACATCAGGGCAGAAACAAGAAAAGGGAGAGATGGCTCAGCCCAAACTCACGTTCTCAACTTTATTCCCCATCCCAGTGGTGGCTCTTCTGTACAGTGGAGAAAGAAGGGGGACCACACCAGGGCTATGGAGACACAGTACAGACAGGACTGAACTGTCAGCAAAGATTAAAAGGATGACCAAAGGCTGGCAACCACAAAACCAAGAAGCCAGCGGGGGCTGCCCCTTCCAAGTCTCACCAACAACCCCAAGCAGGCAGCAGAGCCAAAGGCCCAATAGTACAATCCCCAAAAGCCAAGGTCTGGGAGCCATCAAGGAGCTCCCAGGGATCCGGCGAGGCTCAGAGGGCAAGGGTGTCTTTGATGAGCCTGCGCATAGTGGTGGTGACCGAGGTGCCCAGGGCATCAGTGATCTGGAAGGAGATCTTGTAGAGGTAGGGCTGCACGTCCCGCAAGCCTGTGTCAAACACGTTATCCACCTCCGACTGTGTGGGCATCTTGGGCAAGTACTCATGCCGATTCATCACCTCCACGATGTTGATGATCTTCTCGCAGAGTTTCTCACCCACCTTCTCCCGGCAGATCTGCCGCTCCTGCTCCGTGGCCAGGGCTACCACATGTACCTTGACCGTCCACACTTCCCATGGAATGCACTCGTCTGAGAAAGGCCAGCGAGACTTCTTCTTCTGGTAGAACTCCAAGGACATCTGCCCCAGCCCATCACCACCAGAGTTGCGCAGCGCATCCTGGGGAAGAAGGGAACGAATGAGCATGCCAAGGCCTCTGAGTTCCCACCTGTGAGGGCCTGCTTCCCACACCCCAGGGAATTATGCTCTCTTAGCTCTAGTAATCATCCAGGGATGGCAAGGAAACAAGACTGGGAGAGGGTAAACGATTTGGGTGAAGTGACACAGCAAACTGCCAACCTGAAATTATGTAGTTCAAGCAAACCAACAAAATCCGTCTCCAAGCCCAATTCCTCCAGCTTGGTGAAGAACTGATATTACAGGAATAACTACTGGTCTGCAGGCACACATTCTGTGCCAGGAACTTAACATACACAATTCCACTGGCTCCTCCCAACAACCCCATGAGCTTTCACCAAGGCACGATGAGGCTTACAGAAGTAAGGTAACTTGCAAGAGTCACATGCCTATGGATGGCTGGACCAGGGTTTGAATCTGGATTGTCTGATTTCTAAATCCTTGCTTTTCACCTTTACATTGCATTAAGGGCCTTCTCCTTCCACACCACCCCTTTAGCCCATATCCTTCAAAATGTTCTAATCCCCTCATCAACATCTCCCTCTTCCCCTGTAAACTATTTGTCTTCTCCACTGCCAATTAAACATAATTCCTTCAATATTTTTTAAAGAGACTGGGTCTTACTCTGTCACCCAGGCTGGAGGGCAGTGGAGCAATCATGGTTCACTGCAGCCTCGGAATCCTGGGCTCAAGCGATCCTCCCATGTTAGCCTCCTGAGTAGCTGATACTACAGGCACACTTGGCTAATTTTTAATTTTTTTTATTTTGTTAGAGATGGGGTATTGTTACATTATCCAGGCTGGTCTCGAACTCCTGGGCTCAAGCAATCCTCCTGCCTCAGCCTCCCAAAGTGCTGGGATTACAGTTGCAAGCCACTGCGCCCAGTTCACAGTCTCTTTTATGAGCGCAGGAAGAGGGAACTGTAGAGCCCAGTGATCCTTGCTCAAAAAGAGGGAAACCAAGCAACAGAATGGGGAAGGGAAGTTGAAGGACAGACTAGACCTGGTGCTTCTCCCTCTTCTTCCCTGAGAAGCAAACAGGACCATCCAGTCCAATGATTCTGCCCTTGCCACCCCACGGGTGTGGGTGGTCCCATACTCCTCTTCCTAGGGCAGCCAGGACCCTGAAGCTCCTTTCCATCTGAGTTAATGCCAACCCAGAGGGTAAGGATGCCTGAAATCCTGAACCACACTCATCAGGGAAGAGGCTCTCCTTCACTGACAAACCAAGGTCAAGTAACCTTGAATGAGTATCTCTAATGTTTACTGTGTGCCAGGTTCTGTTCCAAACACTGGGCATATCTGACTTATTCAGTCCTTGCAGTGCACACACCCTTTGAGGCAGGTAGGATTACTATTCCAATTTTGAGTGGAACCACTAGCCCAAGGTCACACACTTGCTGGGTGGTAGAGTGCGGCTCCAAAGCCTATGCTCTTCACCACTCTGCTCCACCTGCCTCTTACGGACACCTGGAGGACAGAGAGCTGAGAGCTGCTGCTGCTCTTGAGGGTGACTGGGAAACCGCTGATGAACTTGCCCTTTCTGGGTTTGGCGGGACAATGAGGGACAGCTTTCGCCTGACACTGGGCAATCCCCTGCAACGAGCACACAGTACTCAACACAGTGAAGGGCTCTGCAAGTACTTATGGAATGAAAGTCAGACACACAGCTCCCCTGTGTTCTAACCCCAGAGCAGATGCCTTTAGGCTCATGCCAGTAGTTCAAGACCAGCCTGGAGTTCAAGATCAGCCTGGGAAACACAGTGACACCCCATCCCGTCTCTACTAAAAAATACAAAAAACTAGCCGGGCGAGGTGGCGGGCGCCTGTAGTCCCAGCTACTCGGGAGGCTGAGGCATGAGAATGGTCTAAACCCGGGAGGCGGAGCTTGCAGTGAGCTGAGATCCGGCCACTGCACCCCAGCCTGGGCAACAGAGCAAGACTCTGTCTCAAAAAAAAAAAAAAAAAATTCTTTTTTTTTGGAGACAGGGTCTTGCTCTGTCACCCATGCTGGAGTACAGTAGCGTGATCATGGCTCACTGCAGTCTCGAACTCCTAAGCTCAAGCAATCCTCCCGCGTCAGCTGCTCAAGCACCTGGGACTACAGGCATGTGCCACTACGTCCCACTAATTTTTGTATTTTTTGTGGAGACGGAGTTTCGCCATGTTTCCGGGGCTGGTCTTGAGCTCCTGGGCTCAAGCAATCTGGCCACCTTAGCCTCCCAAAGTGCTGAGACCACAGGTGTAGCCACCAGGCCTGGCAAAAAAAAAATCGTCGAAAATTAGCCGGGTGTGGTGGTAGTGGTGTACACCTGTGGTCCCAGCTGCTTGGAAGGCTGCAGTGGGAGGACTGCTCAAGCCCAGGAGTTCAAGACTGGGGTGACACAGTGAGATTGTGTCTCAAAAAAAAAAGGAAAAAAGAAAAATTATCTTCGCTACTTTAAAATTTAAAAGTACCCATTCAGTGAAATGGTCAAACACTGTGACTCTGAACAAAGACCAGAGGAGAAACCACACTACCACTTCCACCTCCTGAGGTGACCAACAGCAGCAGCCAGCCATGTCCCTTCCACATCTTTCTTCCACCCAGGCACACAATGCCACACCGCCAAAACAGATCTGTGGATGGCAGCCACCTGAGCCAAGCAAGCCACCCTCTGGGGGAGTTTCATGTGGGAAAGGAAAAGTGGAAACAGAAGCAGAGAAAGCTGTAGCCAGAGAGAAGGTCAAGACCACAGAAGCAAGGATGGCCCCAGGGGGCCTGGCCACCAACACTTCTCAGCTTCCTGTTCTTCCTTCTCCCCCAAGCACATTTATGAGTGTCTCCCTCCCTCACCACCGTTCGCGCGCGCACACACGCCCTCCCCTGAAGAGGAGCTCTCAACACGCCTGTTTCTCAGAACCTGAAAGAACCCGATTCACACACTCAGGAAGAAGAGGCTGGTTCAACAGCAAGCTGGGGTGGAGGGCACCCTAGGCCCCGCCATCCGCTGTGCCACACCCTTACCTTGAACTCCCCGACAACCTTGCGCAGGGCACGATCCAGTTCCTCAGAAGAGACGCGCACGTAAGTGAAGTCGATGAAGTCACAGTCAACATCCTGGGTGCCCACGGTGCCAATGGAGTAGGTGCCCTCCTTCTTGTAGTGGAACTTGCCCGTGCTGCGGTGCAGGAGCACCGTGTGCAGCACAGCCAGCATGGCTTCCTCCACCTGTCGCCCCTCCACCGACACCTCCAGCACCTCCGAGCGACAGTTCATCCTGCACCCAGTAACCCACACCAAGGTGGGGAACAAGGATAAAGACAAGGGATCTTCACCCTACCCAAGGGCCACCCTGCAAGAGGAGCCCAGGTCAGAATGCTGACAAGAATAGTCCACATGTTATCTGTTCACTTCCTTCTAGGCTCAGCTCGGCCTCTGCCTCCACTGGCCCTTCTCTGCATTTTGGCAGCACAGACTATCAGAGAATCATCAACTCTCAGGATCAGAAAGCGCAAGAGCTTCAAAGTTACCAGTCCAAACGACAGGCCGGGATTCCATTTTACAACCTTCAGTGTAGTTTACAGCAGATGCTCACTGTGCAACCTTTGTCAGGTACTAGACATCAAAGGCAAGCACGGCCCCTGCCCTCAGGCCGACAGAATGAAGGAAAAGCAGGCAACTAAACATTATCACCAAGGAGAGAGTACAGGGTGGGAGTAAGAAGTACAGAAAGACGAGTTTGATTTCCTCGGACCTTGAATGAACAGGTTAAGGCATTTGAACTCTGTCCTAAGAGCAGCGCACTGTGCCAAGATCAAATCTGTGCATCAGAAAAGTACCTCTGGGCCAGGTGTGGTGGCTCACATTAATCCCAGCAATTTGGGAGGCTGAGGCAAATCACTTGAGCCAAAAGTTCAAGACCAGCCTGGGCAACATGATAAAACCCCATCTCTACCAAAAATACAAAAAATTAGCTGGGCCTGGTGGCAGGCGCCTGTAGTCCCAGCCACTTGAGGGGCTGAGGCAGGAGGATAATTTAAACATGGGAGGCTGAGGCTGCACTGAGCTGAGATCATGCCACTGTGCTCCAGCCTGAGTGACAAAGTGAGACCCTGTCTCAAAAATAAATAAATAAATAAATAACAAAGTAATAAACTCAAAAAAAAAGAAAAGTACCTCTGGCTAAAGGGCAAAGAATGGCTCTAAACTGTATTGGGGTCACAAACTACTCAGAGAAGTCAATGAAGCCACGAAGGCTGGGCTTTAAAAACATGACACACACACACATACCAAATCTCACCTATTTCTAGGGACACCCACATCCACAGACTCCAGGGTAAAAACTTGTGGATTTAAGGCACAAAGGCTGGGCAGGGAAGTCAGTTAAAGACCACTACAGTAGATGTAGTTACAGGAGGCAACATAATCAGGTGTGGGGGTTTTTCATGCCCTAGAGTCCTGGGTTTGAATCTCACCTCATCTACATCTTGCTCTGTGACTTTAAGCAAATCACTCAACCTCTCTGAACTTCTTATCTGTAAACGGGAATAGCAGTGAGAATTAAGGTAACACATGTAAAATACAGTAGAATAGTGGTTAAAAACGATGACTTGAAAGTCATACAACATGGACTGGAACTCCAGGTCTGCCACTTGCTCCATGCTCATGATCTTGGGCAAGTTACTTAACACCTATCTGCCATATATACAAAAGAGATAATAATGGCTACCTTGAAAGGGTTGAGGGCTGAATGAGTTAGCATGTATAAAACACTAAAAGCAGTATCTGACAAGTAGTAAACATCCACTAAGTATTCATTAGTACATTGTTATTGCCAAGAGATGACGCAAGGCTATACAACAGTAGTGGTAGAGGGAGTGGGAAGGAGAGACAAGAGACTTGAGAACCAGAACATAGTAAATAACTAAATACATGCCCAGAGGGAGAGGGAACTTCAAGTTCCTTATAACTCAGAGTATTCAGCTTGCAAACTTCCCCTGACAGGGAATTCACTAGCTCTCACAACAACCACTCAATGTTCAGGAAGTTCTATTCAGTTATTCTGATTTATTTATTTTATTCATGAGATGGGGTCTCACTCCATCACCCAGGCTGGAGTACAGTGGCACAATCTCTGCTCATTGCAACTTCCGCCTCCCAGGCTCCCATCCCAGCCTCTCCAGCAGCTGGGAACACAGGTGCACACCACCACACCTGGCTAATTTTTTGTATTTTTGGTAGAGAAAGGGTTTCACCATGTTACCCAGGCTGGTCTCGAACTCCTGAGCTCAAGACATCCACCTGCCTCGGCCTCCCAAAGTGCTGGGATTACCGCACCCAGTCCAGTTATTCTTTCTACTGAAGAATCTGTCTCGGCCGGGCGCGGTGGCTCAAGCCTGTAATCCCAGCACTTTGGGAGGCCGAGGCGGGCGGATCACAAGGTCAGGAGATCGAGACCACGGTGAAACCCCGTCTCTACTAAAAATACAAAAAACTAGCCGGGCGCGGTTGTGGGCGCCTGTAGTCCCAGCTACTCGGGAGGCTGAGGCAGGAGAATGGCGTGAACCCGGGAGGCGGAGCTTGCAGTGAGCCGAGATCGCGCCACTGCACTCCAGCCTGGGCGACAGAGCGAGACTCCGTCTCAAAAAATAAAAACAAACAAACAAACAAAAAGAATCTGTCTCTTAGTGCTTCAAACTACTTTTAGTTTTAGTTTTGGTACCCAAAGTCACATAAAGTCTCACCTCTTTTCCACAAGTGAGTTTTTATTTAGGGGCAGCTGTTCCACCACCCCCTCACCCTTTCTACAGGCTGAAGGTCCCCAGTCCTCAAAATCATGCCTGTTCCACATCACATCTTATCTGCATGGAATCCTGGCAGCTCTCTTCTAAGTGTATTTCACTCATCTGGTTGACAGACGGTGAAAATAAAAAATATATTTCAGTTTGTGTCTGCCCCCTTTTAAACTGTTGCTCAGCACAGGATACAGGGCAACAGTCTGCGGACTGCGCAGAGATCAGGCCAGCTCTGCCTCTCACCTGGCGATCAGCTCGCGTCTACCTGTACCATCACGTTTTGTTTTTGTTTCTACCACTAGGCAGACAATTCCTATATTCTGCTTATAGGGCAGAGACTATATTCCATTCATCACTATAATGGTAATTCCTAGTACTTTGTACAAAACAACTGCTCAATTCATCCCAACCCAGGAATTCCAGGTCCTTCCAGGGGCTGCTAGATTAGTTTCTTCTACATGCTTGGATCAAGAATGAGAAGGGCTCTCTTGCTCGTTTTGCCCTCCAGTTCCACTCCATCCAGCAGTCTTCTTCCCATCTGGAGACTCCTGGCTCTGGTCTGGCTCCCTTTCTTCCACGACTTCTCCCTCTTGTGTCCCCCTCAATCGTTCATACAAGCCATACATCTCACTTGTGCCCCAAGCCTGGGCTCCTCCCTCACTCTACGTGCTATTTTAGAATCCACTCCTCCAAGAAGTCAGTCCTGACCAACCCCACTCTCCTTCCCACAGCAGCCACATTTGGTCTGTGAAAACCCTGTTGTCCCCTGTACCACACAGTGAGCAGTGAGCAGCAGGGCCCACCAGAGTAGGGTCTGGCAAGTCTCGTCCCTCTGGTCCCCCGAGTTGCAGAGGTTAACAGCCGCCTTCTCAAGCCTGGTCGGAGCACAGAGTGCGCCAATTCCCACCTTGAGTGTAGAGTTTGGAACTCAGATTCCTCAAGCTCGGCTCATGCCCTTCCTCCTCCTCCTCCTCACGCCCAGGTGCGACCTCCGCAGGTACGCGTCAACCTCCGCGCGGCGCTGAACCACAAGAGGCCGGCTAAAAGCAAAACCAGAAAGCTTACTTGGCTTCATATCAAGAGACTCGGCACGGACGCAGGAAGGAATTCCCGCCCGGGTCCCGCACCCCCGGCCGCCACTACGAGCAAACCTCCACCGTCCACGTAATCAGGGAAGAGCGGACTCCTCGGGTGTCTCGGGGGCGGCGCCCCGCGCCCAGGCTGGCTGGACTCGGAAGCTGGAGGAGGGCCCCCGTTCCGCCGCCCCAGGGGATGCCCACGCCGGCACAGGAGAGGGGGGAGACGGTTAAAACAGCTCCCACCTCCCCCAACCCCCGTCCGCAACCAGCCTCTGAGATGCCAACACTCTCCCGGCAGGCTCCAGACCACCTGGGTCGGAGGCCGAGCCGGGACCGGAAGCCGCACCGCCCCCCGCGCGCCGGGAGGCTCACCGGATCCCGTGGCCCCCGAGGGGGCATGTACCCGGCTAGCCGGGTCCTCGCATGCATATAGCCGCCCACATGATCCGCGTAGTCACAGGAGCACACACAAATAGTTATGTGTTGCTCTCTATCTGGGGGCTGCTCTTTTCGTGGTTATGTCTTGGATTTTAAGATTTGATGGTGATGATGATCCCCCTTATGTGGACGAGTCCATTCAACCCACCACCGAGAACGCTGTGGTGTTTCGGCTGGGACAACTCACTTCCGCCATAGAGACTAGAGAGAAGGAGGAGCCCGATGGGCTCTCGGCCGCCTCCCTAGGCCGAGCGGAGTCATTGGCTGCGAGCCCGGCCCGGGGACGCAGACAGGGTGCCCAACTCAGTCCGGACTGAGAGGCCTGGAAGGAGCACCGATCCCCACAAGATGAGGGGCATACCCCGTAGGGAGAGGTCCTGGAGATGCGCCCACACCGCTGTGCTGCAGGACGCCCAGTGGATGGCAAAACTTGAGTTTGTTCAATGTGTGTAACAGACAGGATCCCTGGCCCTCCACCCACACAGATGCTGGAGAAAGGGGCTTCATCTCTCAGTGTTGCCTTTATGCAGCAGCACTACTTGGTACTCCACGGTGACCAGTCTGGTGACAGTCCTTCGGAGGCTAGTAATTCGGCCATTGCTTGTCTGCGTGACCCTTAACATCACTCATCCTTTCTGATGCTCTCTATAAACAGGGGGCTGTTGTGAGGATCACAGGAGATAAGTCATATGAAAGATTTTTGTGACCTGTGAAGTGTAATATGAATGCAAATGTATTTTTAGTGCTGTGTAACTTCCTGGAGCGCATTTGGTTATCCATGTAGATTGTAAGCCCAGAGCAGACAGGGGTTCGAGAGCTCCGTTAATGCACCCACCTCCAATAGCAGGCGCTCTTAAGATGTTACTTGGTGTTTACCATGCTTGTTTTCTGGCCACTGGGGTGCCTCACGCCTGTGATCCCAACACTTTGGGAGGCTGAGGACGGAGCATCACCTGAGGCCGGGAGTTCAAGACCAGCCCTGTCAACATAGTGAGACTCCCATCTTTAAAATAAAAATTTAAAAATTAGCTGGGCATGTTGGCGTACCCCTGTAGTCCCAGCTACTTCAGAAGCTGAGATGGAGGATCACTTGAGCCCAGGAGGTTGAAGCTGCAGTGAGCTATAATCATGCCGCTACACTGCAGGCTGAATGACAAAACAAGATCCTGTCTCAAAAAAAAAAAAGTTGGGCGTGGTGGTTTATGCCTGTAATCCCAGTACTTTGGGAGGCCGAGGCTGACGGATCACTTGAGGTCAGGAGTTTGAGACCAGCCTGGCCAACATGGTGAAATCTCATCTCTACCAAAAATATAAAAAAAATTAGCCGGGTGTGGTGGCAAGCACCTGTTATCCCAGCTACTTGGGAGGCTGAGGCAGAAGAATTGCTTGAACCTGGGAGGTGGAGGTTGCAATGAGCTGAGATTGCACCATGGCATTCCAGCCTGGGCAACTGAGCGAGACACTGTCTCAAAAAAAAAAAAAAAAAAAAAAAAAAAAAAAAAAAAAAAGCTCGTTTTTCTTTTTTCTTTTTTTTTTTTTTTTTTGAGACGGAGTCTCACGCTGTTGCCCAGGCTGGAGTGCAGTGGCACGATCTCGGCTCACTGCAAGCTCCGTCCCCGGGTTCCCGCCATTCTCCTGCCTCAGCCTCCTGAGTAGCTGGGACTACAGGCGCCCGCCACCGCGCCCGGCTAATTTTTTGTATTTTTAGTAGAGACGGGGTTTCACTGTGGTCTCGATCTCCTGACCTTGTGATCCGCCCGCCTCGGCCTCCCAAAGTGCTGGGATTACAGGCTTGAGCCACCGCGCCCGGCCTAAAGCTCGTTTTTCAAACACATGCTTTTATCTTCCAAAATGATAATAGATAACATTTATTAGGTGGAATGGAAAGGTCATGATTTTAAATACCATATATATGTACATATAAATTTAAACCTGATACTAATCAATCCTGCAATATAGATGAGAAATTGGGCCAGGCATGGTGGCTCATGCTTGTAATCCCAGCACTTTGGGGGGCCGAGGTGGGTGGATCATTTGGGGTCATGAGTTCAAGACCAGCCTAACCAACATGGTGATACCCCGTCTCTACTAAAAATAAAAATTAAAATTAAAAAGAGCCAGGCTTGGTGGCACATACCTGTAATGCCCACTACTCTGGAGGCTGAGGCAGGAGAATCGCTTGAACCGAGGAGGCAGAGGTTGCAGTGAGCAGAGATGACACCACTGCACTCCAGCCTGGCGAAAGAGCGAGACTCCGTCTCAAAAAAAAAAAGAAAAAGAAAAAAGAAAAAGAAAGTGATTGGGGGCCGGGTGCGGTGGCTCAAGTCTGTAATCCCAGCACTTTGGGAGGCCAAGATGGGCGGATCACGAGGTCAGGAGATCGAGACCATCCTGGCTAACATGGTGAAACCCCGTCTCTACTAAAAAATACAAAAAACTAGCTGGGCGCGGTGGCGAGCGCCTGTAGTCCCAGCTACTTGGGAGGCTGAGGCAGGAGAATGGCGTGAACCCGGGAGGCGGAGCTTGCAGTGAGCTGAGAGATCCGGCCGCTGCACTCCAGCCCAGGCGACAGAGCAAGACTCCGTCTCAAAAAAAAAAAAGAAAGTGATTGGGGAGAGGTTAAGTAAGTGGCCCAAGGTCACTCAGTAAATAACAGAGCCTTGAATTCAAATCCAAAACTCCTTACCACTATGGGAGCTCTTTTTCTGGCTGACTTCTTTAGCCAACTCTCCCCTATGTACCACTGCTCTCCAATACACCCTCACCCACCAGTGGTGTCCTGATAAATGCTTCACACCTGCTCTCTGGTAGGGGAAATGCCTTGCTTTGTAGCATTTGCCCATTTTCTGCCATAGGTGATTTCAAGCTACAAGACATCAATGAATGCAGAGTCCAGAATGGATGGATGATTGCATGTTGATTGTCAAGGTTAGAATCAGCCCTTGGGGGCCAGTGCCAGCTGGCTCCAGCACACCACTGTCACCACCTCAGCCTTAGGCTTCCTCCTCCCATTCAGGTCTTCCAAACCTGGCTGCACAAGCTCCTCCTCTGGCTGGCCTTTCCTCCATCATCTGTTCCCTATCTTCTTTCCTTCCTCCCCACAGTTCTGCCCTTGTTCAGCCCTTGCCTCGTATCCCAGGTGTAGGTGCCTCTCCTGGGAGAAAGAGAAAGCTGCCTGCCCTGCAGACCAGCAATATTTTCGGGAAGCTGCACAAAACCAGAAAGAATTCAGGAGGAAATATTGAGAGGGAAGGGTCTGTAAGGAGCTGAAAGAGAGGGACCAAGGGAGGTTGGAACCAGTCCTGGAGTGGAGGAGGTACCAGAGCCCATCCCCAGAGACTGCCATTGAATAAGGGGAGAGACTGATCTCTCTGGCCATCCACACACTCCATCTCACAGCCCTTTGCGGCCACTAGCCTGACATCATCATCATCATCATCATCATCACTACCACCAATCATTGAGCCTTACTAGGCACCATGCCAGCACTCACAGACCCTATTGTGCTGATTTTGCCAACTACCATTCAAGGTAGATACAGTTCACCTCCCCAACACCCCACTTTCTGATTTACTAATGTTATAACTGAAGCCCAGTCATACATAGTGATGCATAGTGGTTTGCTGTGATGCTTAATTTTACGTGTCAGCTTGACTGGGACACAGGGTACCTAGACAGTTGGTTAAGTATGATTCTGGGTGTGTCTGTGGGGTGTTCTGATGAGCCTAACATTGGAACTGGCAGACTGAGTGAAGCCAATTTCCCTTCCCCGTGTGGAGGGGCTTCATCCGATCAGTTGAAGGCCTAGTAGAACCAAAAGGTTGACCCTTCAGTGAGTAAGGGGAATTCCTGCCTGACTGTCTTAGAACTGGGACATCAGTCTTTTCCTGCTTTCAGTCTCCAACTGCCTTCAGAGAGCTGCTTCTCCTGCATCTCAAGACTGAAATGACACCATCAGCTTTCCTGACTTCAGATCTTAGGACTTGTCAGCTAGTTACTTAGAATAAATCCCTCTCGGCCGGGCGCGGTGGCTCACGCCTGTAATCCCAGCACTTTGGGAGGCCGAGGTAGGCGGATCACCCGAGGTCGGGAGTTCGAGACCAGCCTGACCAACATGGAGAAACCCCGTTTCTACTAAAAATACAAAATTAGCCAGGTGTGGTGGCGCATGTCTGTAATCCCAGCTGCTCAGGAGGCTGAGGCAGGAGAATCACTTGAACCCGGGAGGCAGAGGTTGCGGTGAGCCAAAATCTCACCATTGCACTTCAGCCTGGGCAACAAGAGCGAAACTCTGTCTCAATAAATAAATAAATAAATAAATAAATAAATAAATAAATAAATCCCTCTCTTTCTCCCGCCACATATATATAGGGGAGAAACTCTCACTATATATAGTATGTGTTTGTGTCTATGTCCTACTGCTTCTGTTTCTCTGGAGAACCCTGACTAGTACATGCCCAAGGCCATGCAGCTGCTCTTTCCTCCTTCCACCAGTCTTTTCACTCATTTATGTACCTACTCCGGCACTTACCCTTTCCATGGAGCCTTGCCTGCTGGACTGGGGAACATAAGGGAGGCTGAGTCTTCTCACCTCTTTATCTCACATGCTGACCCACACTTGCCTCTTCTTACCTCCCTGAATTCTTACAGGGAAATTCTCATTGCAACCCTGGGTCTCAGCCCCTCTGAGTAGTCCCATCATGGAGGGGAGGGAGTAGTTAAAAAACTGGGACTGTGTGGGATGAATTCTCTCATTCTATGCCTCTACCTCTGATGATCAAGACATAATCGTCTGTTCATTCATTCATGCCACACATGTGGAACTGTCCACATGCCAGGCCCTTGTAATACCTTGTGATGCCAAGGGAGACAAGTCATAGTTCTAGCCCTCTGGGAGCTCAGAGTCTTCAGATGAG